GAGGGGTTGGCTCGCGTCCTGGCTCTGCGGTTGTTACCTTCAAGCGAAAACAGGCAGCGAAGTGCGCAGGGAATTCTTACTTTTGTGTCACCTGGAAGCAACCAAGGCTGTGGTTCCTCAAGTTCCTCTTGGCTGAGGTGGCCGCAGCGAGATAGCGGTGTTTTGGGCAGTGCTCAGCCTGCTCCGCCGGGTCATCTGAATTGCCAGAACACTGCTCTGCCGGCATTCGCGTGTGTGCATTCAGTCACAGAATCGTTTAGGTTGGAAAAGATCCTTAAGACTGTTGTGTTACCGAAATATCGGATCTATAACTTTCTAAGACCAATCTGTAGAAGTTAAAAAGTAAGTCTTTAATTCAGCACTGGGAGCATACATGAAATCATGTCATAAATGGAATGTTCCAAGTATTAGCAGTTGCCAGTAGCTTATATGTGCCTTACACAAACATACTGATGACATAAAATGTTACATATGTATTACATTTCCAGTAAAAGGTTTGCATATACACTACATTTCCCATAGCTAATTAAAATATCTGTATACTTACTGTGCATGCTCAATTAGCATGCAGAATGGCTTTCCAGTGGTCTGAGGAATAGTCACTTAAGCTGTGTCTTCATGGAGTCTTATCTTTCAGGTTCCTGTGCTTTTGTTTTCACAAAGCCTGACTGGTCAAGTTGGTCTGAGTAGAGTGATTCATTAACTTCATATCTATGCCTCCATCTTGCAGACTGCAATCCTATTATCCCCATGCAGCTTCCTCCTACCTAAAGTTAGTCAATATACATGTACAAGAATATAAGAATATTTCTTATATTATCCCGTCTATCAGGTTACAGTTGAGTCCAGCTGTTACTGAAATTGAAAATAATTCCTGAAATGCACAAAGCATGTTTAGAGAAGAGATACTTTTTTTTTTGTTCTGTGCAAGGTGACAGATTTCCACAAATCAGGCACACCACACAAAATTTACAGTGTATTTATCTTGATACCTGATTAGCAAAACTCCACCTAAAACTACATTAATTGGTACAAAGTTACTTAATCAACTTTCTGTTGGCTAATTACTCTCTCACTTCCCATGCTAATTAGTTCACATGTGAACTGTTCCCCTTTTGACTCGGAGTTCTTTTTTAAGCCAGTGGTCTGTGAGTTGGTGATCATAATCTCCTTCCATAGTTACCTTTCCCTCAGTTTTCACAACTTGCACTGACTTCATCCTCATTGCCGAACCATTCAGTCTTTGACACCTCATTGGGTGGGAAGTTTAGCCTCTCCTCAGTCTTGTAGCTTCTCTTCAAGGGCATAGTCATTAGCGTAAAGAAACTGATTTAGGAATCCTTCAGTTACATCTCCAAGGACCAAGTCTTTTGTTGTCCTAAATCTACATGCCAGAATGCCTCAGTATATACATATGGTTTCCTTCTATTATCCTAAGTTAACTATTTCACTGCATCATTAAGGTAACACAACCATTAACCTAACAGTGCCAAGTCCACCCATAAACAATATCCCTAAGCACCACATCTACCTGTCTTTAAATACTTCCAGTGACTCTGCCATTTACCTCGACAGCCTGTTCCAATGCTTGAGAACCCTTTTGGTGTAGAAATTTTTCTTTACATTCAGTGTAAACCTCCCCTGACACAAGTTGAGACAATTTCCTCTTATCCTTTCACTTGAAACTTGGGAGAAGACCCTGACCCCCACCTTGCTACAACCTCCTGTCAGGTAGCTATGGAGGGTGATATGGTCTCCCTTCAGTCTCCTTCAGCCTAAACAGCCCCAGTTCCCTCAGCTGCTCCTCATAAGGCTTGTGCTTCAGACCCCTCACCAGCTCCATTGATATTCCAGTATTTGAGATGCAGCCTCACCAGCACTGAGTACAGAAGGATCACTTCCGCAGTCCACTATTTCTGATACAAGTCAGGATGCTATTGACCTTCTCCTATAATGTGTTAAAAATGAGAAAGAAGAATTAAAAGTGAAGTAAATGGTTGACAACTTCCCATGTGAGACTTTATGAGAAATACCAGAAGAAAGGCAGGAGCTGCTGGTCACCTCTCTTAGACCCATCACTACAGATGAGGTGCAGTGAATGCAGTAGCATCTGCCCCCTTCTACCTTACCTTCACCCTTGCCCTCCAAGCTGGTCTCCTGTGTGGTCTTTAAGACCCTGATAAGTATTTCAGCATCTGCTTGGCAAAGCAGTGATGGCAGGTAGAGCTAGATTTCCATAAGCTGTTGTTTCTGCTCTTCTTTTTTCATGCTCTTGGCAAAATGACTTCTCCATTGGCCAGGTTTTTTGAGATGCAAGAAAG